ATCACACAGGAGATACAAGTACTCCTGTTCTTCTTTTTGCGGATACAGACTAACACGGCTGCTACTCTGAAACCTTCTATGTGAGTGTCCTTGTAGATAAATCTCTGATCATTTTCATATGACTTTACATTGTGCCTGTTCATATAACCTTGTAGTGGGTCTACCCATGTGTGACCTCTGTCTTCATGAGACTTTGTATCAAGGCCTAATATAGAAACCTTGTACTGATGAGCCTTGGTATATGGAAACTTTGTATCAAAGCCTCATGTAGAAACTTTGCATTGCCCTTGGTATAATGTTATAGCCCCTAAGGATAGAATAAGATAGAAGAAAAATGTCTTTTTGCTAGCAGTAGAACAAGATCTCCCCCCCCCACACACACACTCTTAATCAATTGCCCTGTTGAATGAATGAGGTGTGAATGAGGAAGGTATGGAAGGCAGCACCTCCAAATAGCTGCAACAGTTGGAGAGAGGCTGGGAGCCAGACCCAAGGATGCTAAAACGTGTCAAGTGGACTCACTAAAGAAGATCAGACATGCTGACGGCCTCGGGGGTTAGAAGCCAGCACCTTCTTTTGGAAACACCCTCTTTGCAGCATTGGGACAACCCCCAGAAGGAAGCAGCACAAAGGCCCAATGGACACAGACACAGATTTTGAATCTGGTACAGATTTGCATGAGAGGGAAGCTGCTATAAAAGTGAGGTGTCTTGCAGAGGACCCCGGGTCTCGTCTTGTCACATGGGAGCATCGATCCGGATCAGCAGAAGACCGGCTCCACCCCTCCCCCATCTAACTCACCTGGCCAGTGCAGTTAAGGGGAGCAACTAATTGGTAACAACAACAAGACGGAGCATGCTTGTATGTGTGTATGTGAGTGCATGAGTGTATATGTGTATATCTCATATGCATATGATACAGTATTAACAAATACATGTATTACTAATAAATGTGGCGTTTTGCCTTATTCCCCCTGAAAAGATCCTGTGCAGTACTTAAAGTACAACATCCTGTCCTATCTGGGGCCTGGGGAACTTCATCGACACCCTGCAGTGAGAGACAGGGGGTGCCCCATCTGGGGTGAGGGGGAACTTTATTGACAACCCACAGTGAGAGACAGGGCGTGCCCCTTACAGGGCCGTGGGGGGGGGGAGGAGGAACTTTATTAACATCCAGCAGTGACAGACGGAGAGTGCCCCATCCAGGGCCTCGGGAACTTTATTGACATCCTGCAGTGAGAGACAGGGTGTGCCCCGTCTGGGGTGAGGGGGAACTTTATTGGCAACCGGCAGTGAGAGACAGGGCGTGCCCCTTACAGGGCCTGGGGGAACTTTATTGACCCCCACTTTCTGT